ACTTTAGGCCACAATGGGACGTCTTAGGTTCGGTATTGCCGACCAAATGCGCCGCCACAATAACAATTTTCAAACCTCTGACAATGGTTGCAAAACCCACGGGCTACCTGATAGGAAAGTGGCCTAGTACAGAGGCCTAGAATCCCGTTACAATATAGACTTCGCAAGCTTCGCGCATTTAACCAGGACAACCGTTTTAAGCACATACTGCCACATTACTGTTACGGAGGCAAGACAACGGGAGCAACAAAACAGACACTTTGCTTACCTTGATAGATAGCGCCCTCAGGAGGCCACCAGGGTGGAGACGCCTGATTGCTGATGGGACTAAGAGACCGAGACGAAGATGATAAGGCGCCCCAAAGCAACGAATCCGGGGTGGTCATCGCAAGTTATGGAGACGCGCCACCGATCTCTTAGCAGTTCAGACGCGGTTAACCAATCAAAACACGACATCAATAGAGTGTAGACCACCGAGCACACGTTGAGCGCGTTGGATAATGCAAAGCACAAGCTTCAAAATCGGCCAATAAAAAAGGAAAGATCGATATTAGAGTGCATGGGCCTGTCGTTCACATGTTAGTCGTTGTTTTGTCTACTAGACACAATTGGACGGAGTGCGTGGTGTTGCAAAGCCTTATGCCACGTAATGTACGGGGCGGTAGCGCGACGCTACAAACGCCAATCTATTAAAACTTATGGTAGGGACGTCTTTTGTGAAATCAAAATGCCCCTTTTCGTGATTTTTACGTAAACTATTTCTGGAACAAAGTTAATCATCAAGCCGCCTCACTAGGCATTGCTTAATACTATGTCCTGTACCCTGCAGTCCAATGATATCAGAGGGACTCCTAGGTGATGTCGCTTTGTTTTTGCATTTAATGTTGTCGCCTTGTTCGTTAACCACATTTGCAGTTACTAAAACCACCTACCCGTTAATGATACTAACATCTATTTCGCCTTCTAAGAAATTTAGAAGGAATCTTGGTACTTCGCCAAACCATGGACAATGTGCATATTGGAAGCCTGATGCTTTGAGAGCTTTTTCCGAGTGACAAGCTCACTTTTACGTCCTATTACCCAGAATATCATAATTTGTCAGCGCTGCCTCAAAATTGATTCCTTGACTTTTGCTACGAATCGAAATGTGGAACGTCAGCGAAATTTTCAAAAAGCATTGTGATTTTCGACGTTGCAGGTGAGCCCAGGCATGACATTCAGGAATTAGGGACAAATCCAAAAAACTTAGTGGTCTACAGGTCAACAAAACAACGTGGGAATGAAGGGGACGTGGATGCATAGCCAACCTCCACCTGAAACTCTGCAACACATTCTTTCCCATTCTGGAAGGGCATCCAGTTCTCGAACAAATTGGCTGGCTTTTTCCACCTGCTGCTGTTGCCCCTCACCTCAGCAGAGCCTAACACCCGGTTGTGTCTTACAACCGTGTGGAGGGAATTCACTCTTACCTATCGCTTGACATTCCTTAATTCTCCTTCAATGGTTTTTTGTCTGGGCAACGCTTTAAATCAGGTTCTGCTCAACAACATCCTCACACAGTCGACAGTGTCGGTTTCCAGCGTTTATTAGAACGGATTTGTCATGTTTGTGAACCCAAGGGTCTATTTGAGATATCACCTTTGCACTAAGTATGAAGTCCATTCGCTTCGAATAATTACAAGAATTTGTAACCAAGTTGTCTCAATATTTAACCAACACTCATATCACAAGTCGATAAGTCAATTAGGAGACTTCTGAAACTGAAATTCAAATAAATTTCATTAAATGTAACAGGCTGGTAGCGTATTCCGCTCTACCGACAGGAGGATGTGCGTACCTCGTTGGTTGCGCCCACTTACAACAGAGTTTAACTGTTCGCAAATCAGTGATGTAAAGGTTTATCAAACAACCAGCTAAGAATTTTTGACTTGGGACGGAAGCCATCAAACAATCTCCAGTGTAAGTAGCTTTTTGATGTAGGTCAGCCACCACCCCCGAGACATTTGTAAATCTTGCTTGAATAAACATAAACGGCTAAGGACCTGATAAGTTTTGATGGCGTTGAGTCCGCTGACCTTCACCATGAAAAATAGGCTTTGCCTGGGTTTTATTTGATTGGCTAGGTGTTTTGTGAAACAAACATCAGCTTCCTTGAGAGGTGTCTGAACTGGTGACCACAGCAAGGTTCATTAGTTACAATTCTCAATCTTTCGATAAAATGTGATATGCAGGGTACGAAATTGAGTGTCCTCTTCAGGAATTTGGCAGCTTTAAACATAGTCACTTATTTACCAGGGTCCATTTCGAGCAGTGCCCACTCACAGTCATCACCATGCTGTACCTTCTTATTGGGTTGTGTTGTTTTTCAAGGTGAGGAAACTCGACCACTCCTTACTTGTTCGTACATTGTTTAAAGTTCAAACACATCTGGCTCTCTAGTACATTTTCAGACATAATTTTTGTTCTCCTTCTGCAATATTCAGGCTCCCAAAATAGCAAAGCATTTTAAATCAAGAACCTGCCATAATTTAACCAAAGTTACTTTAGTCAGCACTTAGGAATTAACTTGCAACATTTGTAAATATTGGGGAGGTTGAGCACTGGGGCACTGTTGTGCAAGGTGAGGCTGAGTGAGTGATGCCTATCGTGGGGTGGATTGAAAGATCTGTGGTGTGGACGCTGTGTTTACATCAGCTAGGACTATCGCGGGACAGTCATCAATCAGCAGCATCAGCTTCGCAAAGCTTTTTTTAATATCACACCAGTATTTAACCTAAAATCGGTAGCTCACTTTAAATAGTGGCCATCCAACCCATTCAACTCTTATGGCTCTCGCATTTCTATGGCAGTTTTGGAATATTCTTAGAGACATTCCATGCACGATAACAATGGGAATTAGGTGGTTTTACCTCGATTGCTTATGGAATCTCCACTCGTGTCCATTGTAGTCGCATTCCACTAAAGAAGCCATTCTTAAGGTGGGCCTGAGTTTCCCATAGAGCTTTCGGAAGCTAGTGTTTTTGACACTATGATGGAAAAGCTACATGAATCTGTTGCTTAGATGTAGAGTAAAGTCCCACACCAAATCTCAAAACGCTCCAGCTACTCAAGCAAACTCTATTAATTGAAAGTCTAGGCGCTCCGCCTACATACCTAATCTGACTTGAGAGGGCAAACATTTGAACCAAAACATGATGTAGAATTATTCGGATTAGAAATATGCTAAAGTAGTCACTGTCCACGATATAGTTCTATGACAGATGCAATAAATGACATTTTTTAGATAATCTTCTGGTTTCTGACAAAACCACTGACACTTGTCGATAATACGAAGCAGTGCCTGTCCTATGGTGACACCAAAGCCACACGAGAGCCTTCTCACCTGGCTACACCCTCATCTTCAGTGAATAGGTTAAAACGAAAACTATCGACTACCTTCATATAAAACATTTAAAAGTACACATAAGCCTAGCTATCCAAAAATCACCAGACTGCTAATGAAGCAATGATGCAACTTCATTAAACTTTTCACTTAAACTCACACTAACCCAAATTTCCAACTTGCAAGTTACCCATAAGTATGACCACATACCCGTACACATCATGCCTAACAAGTTAATCTACAACTGCGTCCATAACATCATCATATTTTCTCATCGTACGTTTCCTTGCAAAGCTACGTAAGTGTCAGCGAAAAAAAAGTCTAAGGTGAGTTTCATCAACTATAGGGGACTAATAGCCTCTATTTTGGCCTAAATGTAAGGGCATTTTCGAAAATGAGTTACGATGGTGTAGCTGAATATTGAAAGACTTGGCAATATTAAAACAGCAAGGTAAATTATTTTCCTTAACACGAAGATAACTAAGCATTTAATATTAATGATGAATGAGAAATAGTAAGAAAATACTTTAAAACTTGTGACCAATCAAAGCAAAATAAATTAAGACTCCCTTACATTTAATATGCACACAAAGACAAGTCAAAAATTACACACAAAACTCGTAGTGTCTCTAATCATGCTACATTTTATATTTAGTATTTATTTATCTCAGATGCATTCGTCAATTTTTGGCAAAAATAAAAATAGTGGTTACCAAACAAAGCATCAATCTATGAACAATTTATTTAGTGGAGAAAAAATTGGCAATTTTTAAAATCCATTTTAGTTATAGTTTTAGCGATAAACGAATCCACTGATAGCTTACTCGTCAACAACTGGGCCTCAATTAGCCTTGCAAGAATACCTATGTATGTAAAAATACCGCGAATTGTGTCTATAAACGAATCTATAAAAGATGAGGTGAGGTACCAATTTATATCGTAAGAAAATAACGATTAGCCAAAGGGATTTGGGGTAGTCATTATAAAAAGATAAGTCATTTCCGTCAAATGTCAACTAAAAGGTCTTAATAAGAAGTGAGACAGAACAGCGATGAATGTATCAACAAAACGGGCGACATCACATTGGTTGATCAACAATAAACTGAATAAAAAATTATTCCGATTTGGTTCTACCTACCTACGTAACAAACCTTGAAATTAATAAACCCAAAACTATTAATAAATGGCAACTAGCGATTGAGGATTATTTGCCTGATTCAGGGAAAGTTTTTAGTAAATTATGTTCCATGATTGTGAGTGATTCAGTGAACAATTATTAACAGTATAAATCATTTTCATAACAGTTTTCTTTAAGGTTTTGAGTACAAAATAATTACAATATTAAGTACAACACGTAATATTGCCCATGACGTTTTAAGGTCTTTTAATTGAGTTTACCCGAGAATTTTACATTGTTTATATCATAATAATAATAAGCCGCTAATTTGTATTCTCGACCTTACCCAATAACGTTTGCGTGAGGCTGTCTCGGCTGCTCAAATGCTTCTAAAAGGGGTTATCTTATTTCGATCTAAACCTAATCTGAAATTTTTTTCGGTACTGCGTAAATGCGTTTGGGTATTTTTGCGTACCTTTTAATGCCCTTAGCCTCCATTAGATGACATATATCGTCGGCATCTCGAACGTAAATGGAGCGAAATAATTAGTCGCCGTCAGATAAAACCACAAGCAGAAGAGGTGTATTCCAAAAAGCTTTTACTTATAAAAAAACTTAGAAGAGGCCTAACGCCTATATTTTAGCAATGTTTCCTTATCCATCTGGGAGGTTGCATATGGGCCACCTGCGTGTGTATACCATAACAGATGTTCTGGTCAGGTATTATCAGTCTCTTGGACATGAAGTTATTTTTCCAATGGGCTGGGATGCTTTTGGTCTACCCGCTGAAAATGCAGCGATTGACAGACGCGTTCTTCCTGATCAATGGACGCACGAGTACGCGAATATTCGCTGGAACTCTGTTGTAATAATTATATGCCAAACATATTTCTAATTCTTTTTGACAGAAATATTCAAAACATGCGCAAGCAGCTTACTACGGACATGAGCTTGTCTGTCGATTGGACACGTGAATTTGCTACTTGTGACCCAGATTATTACAAGTGGACTCAGTGGCTTTTCATTAAGCTATTCAATGCCGGACTTGCCTACAGGCGTTTGGCTGAAGTGAATTGGGATCCTGTCGACAAAACTGTTCTTGCTAATGAGCTTATTGATGCAGAAGGCAGGTCTTGGCGTTCTGGAGCTGTTGTAGAACGAAGAGTAATGCGTCAGTGGTACTTCAGGACACTCGCATATTCCGAGGTATGCCTACTCCATAAAATCAAGATTGCACGTGGACCTGTTTTTCCTCACAAATAACAACTTTTGTTCTTATAGTAGTTTGGTGCCAAAATGCGTTTAGGTTGCAGTTTTGTTTGACGATATGTTGTATATTGTGTGAAGAGACTGCATTTCACTCTATTATCTCAATGTGAATCATTGATAATTTCGTATTCTTTATAGTCACTCAAAAACGGTTTAGAAGAGGTTAAGGGCCATCAATGGCGGGACGTCATCCAAATGCAGCAAGGTTGGATAGGTCCAATCGACGGTTTCGCCGTGGAATTTGACTTGGACTTCCATTCGACAGAGAAGGAATTGCAGGGTGAGCGTTTGGCTGTTTTCACCAAAAACCCTGGTCTTGCTGCTGCTGGGGCCATCAACTTTGTTGCCGTGGGACCTCAGAGCATTTTCTGGAATGAGCGATTTCGGTTGGTAAGTTTTGTCAAAAAGATTTTTCACTCTGTTGGGCCTCGATACGATATTTCGTTTATTGTGTTATGATTAAGACGAAACTAGCAGTATGTAATGTCTGAAAGTAGTCGATTTTTTACGAGGTGCTTGGTGGTATGAACGTCAAATTGAGTCTCACTAAGATTAACATTCTTTTGAAAGATATTGGCCCTGTGTTGGAACAGACAATTTGTAGACTATTTCACTTTGTCTAAAATGGCAGTAGAAATCTTTCACTAAGAGTTGCTTGGGTGTATGCAATATCTAAAATTAGATTTTACCCTTCCGTCCCATTGTAGTGAAAAAACACAAGGCTCTGCCCTACATTTACTTGTAAGCCGCTGATAGATGTTTTATATAAACTGACTACTTGAATTAGTCAGTAGAAGGTCGTTACTTCTTTTAGCCCCCATCTGATCGCGGGCCCAATGCGTCACGGAAACTCGTTCTGACAAATCTAGGTCCTTTTTCGCGAAAACTCTCTGTACAGCCTGCCGCAGTCTGCAACCCTTGGCCCGAAAAGCTCAACATTAGTGTTAAACACTTACTTACTGACAGCTTCATTCCGATTATCTACGATCCTGAATTATATTCCAGTGTTGAATATGAAACGCCAATTGAGTTGGGTGGGTTCTCTAGCTCGAAATGGAATCTTTTACAAACATTTACTTGTGATACGTTTAGTGTGGTGCAGCAACCTAACTAGGAAGCTCAATTAAACCACTTATTTGACCTGACTGCTTTGTGCAACACTTAAATAATCACTTTCTGAAGCATTCTCTTAACCTGGTAAAAGCTGACCTGCTTCCTAGGGTTCTTGTGTTTTTTATTTCAAAACTGAGTTTCTATTTGTGAATCATTCGACTTAGGGATGTTTTAACACCCAGTCATTATTCTCAACTTCCCTATCAAAGTATTCACCATTCTAGGTACTCCTGACTTGTGCTTCCGTCACAGGGAACTGAGTCGTGTTCTTGAGCTCCCATCGCCTGTGTGCCAACTCGAAGCTATTTCCTCGGAGAATGTGGGTAATGCAACAAACCTCAGGGTTAAGTACAGTCCTGCAACAAAGGTAACTAATAAAATCCCCTATCTTTGCCACTGTTGAAAACCGTAATCACCTTAACAAAGGTTGTTTTTAAACCAACGAACCAATGGATTTGCAGTCGCCTTCTGTGCTCATTTAAGTGATGTTAATTCTAAAAGGGATCCTTTTCCCTCAGCGAAATGGCCAGGCAAAACGTTTTCGCCATGGAGATATTTTGAGGAAGCCTGAGCTTTTTGTCATCTTTCTTCCCTTTCCGTCAGAGAATTTAATTATCCTCTGCTTCATTTTTTGCCTTCAATAAATTAAATTAACGACCTCGCAAACCCACTTAGCCTGTCCGTCTACCTTTTCTTGGTAGATTTGCAATCTGCAGTATAAATAATGCACCAAGTGTGTCGACAAACAGGTCACGTGTAATTCTTTTATGACGTTTTAGTTTAATGGACTTGATTTGAGTGCGGCCAACGCTCTGGCAGTGGAAGAATTGATGGTACGACTTCATTGTTTCCAGTTGTACTTTTTTGTAAACGAATTCACATAGTAGATGCGTTTTTCTGCGTTCAAGACTTCTGATTACCGACTGTACCGGTGCAGTCAACAACGGAAGGATTGGTCGGTATCCAGGCAGCGGTACTGGGCCACGCCGATCCCGTTGGTGCATTGTTCAAGGTGTGGCGTAAGTCAGTGGGTTTGGATTTTCTTGTTCAACCTTTTCAGATGTTCTAAAGGTACAATTTTGACAAAATACACTCGTAGCTCCTTAACTTAATTGTGTTCACTGCACTTAAAAGTAAAAAAAAGCTGTGACTATTTTTTGTAACTTGGGCTATCGCGCAGTAAAATGTCACCTCACAGATATCTTCAGGAAAGTTTGTTCACGAATCGTTTCGAAGTCAATTCAATTTATCTGCGTGCGATGGATCGATGTCTCTAAGCCATCACATTGAAATACAAAAGAAACTAGTGACATCGGGCATATAGCCCTCAATATGTTGACGAATGCGTTCATCACTCAGTCACACAGTATAACAAATGATTCCGTGGTACACTATCACGACGAAATTTATTCTCGCAATGCCCTGTCCCACTTTTCGTTGACCGAAGTTGTCTCCAGTCCTGCAGTTTCATGTTTTCCACCCTTTGTTTAAGATAATCTGCCGGTATTAAGATAGAGATTGTTGATGGGGATCAACGTATCATCCACTCTAAAGCCAAAATTTGCACCCTTCCAATCCATTATTGTTCTTTAACCAAGGCAGACATTCTGAAAAACGACGTGGAAATTTCATTCTTCCTCTACGTTTAATTTGTCAGCGTTATTTTCTAGACCGTGGCCGTACCCGAGGAGGACCTGCCTGTTGAGCTCCCGCGTTTGGACGAGCCACTGGGACGCGGTGACGTTCCTCTGAAAGAAAACTACGCGTGGCGTCGAACAGTCTGTCCCAGGTAAGCCTCGTGTGTTGGGCAAACGAACCGCTTTTCGTGTAGTCGAGACGTGTATATCGGGAGGCGTGGGGGCATCTGCAACCACGCAGTTTTATTTCCGAACTGCCCGTTTAAGAGCCGTTCTGTGGACCCTGGCATGGAGGTAGACTGGTGAGTAACCACCTGAACCCCGAGTGAATCGTCTGCCCTCAATCGCATAGACCATCTAACATTGGGCAAACAGGTGCATCTCAAAGCACTGCCTATTAGTGATTACAAA